TTTCCTGGAAACATAGTTTGGATCAGGCTGAAAGTATTTGAAAATTCAGGTCAAATGCCCCAGACAGATTAGTGTAAAACAAAACAATACCAAACCAGATTTGGGCATCTCTCAGCCCAACATCTTCACATCTCACTTCCTAGCCATTGCTCTACATGAATTACTGTGGAGCAGCAGAGTTCAAAGCCTGCCTCTACCTTGCAATCACAACTCCACAGGCACTGTTGTTTGAGCTGTGAGTTCAGTTTCCCCCGGGACACAGTAGGTCTTCACACCCCATCCCTTCTTCGTGGGTCAATGTTCTGGCCACAAGGATAATGCACGAACCTATTCCACCCTCACCGCAGCTTCAGTGACAGTGCCTCAGTTTAACCCTCCATTTCCCTCTCTTTTTGCTAAATAGATAAAACATCCGTTTCCTTTTTTCCCCAAAAGGAAAACTCAACATTTTTTCCATTTTAGTGAGAATAACTGAAAAATATAAAGCTCAACATGAAATTTTTCAGCTGTAGGTTCAATTGCTAAGCCGAGCACAATTCTCCGGCCTTCCTGCAGATACCGTGAAGCCAAGGCAAGGAGAACCCCTTGTGACCTTTTTCAGGTGAGAAAGTGAAAAGTCCCTGAGACGCCTTGGATGGAGAAAGCCAAAAGCCTGGGCAAGGTTCACTTGCAAATTAACTTCAGAAGCCAACTCTGGAAAGAAGTGAGAGTTTGCTGTCAATGGGAAACACCTTCTGCATTGCATAGCCTGGTAAGTACCCACGTGGCTTCCAGCTGCAGTCTTCCCTGGGATCTCTAACACAATTTTAATCATTTCAGCTTAGGCTGAGGAACCACCATCTGCTGGCTTGTTAAAGGCATAGCTGTGATGTGGCTAATGAACATGTCCAATGACTTCTCTTCCACCTACCTAGGACCCTATGAAAAGCTACCTAGGACCCTGATTTCTGGCCCCTCAGCTTCTGCTTTCCTCTCTCTACTTTAAATTCTGCATTTTGAACATTCGCTCTGCCAGCAACATTTTCTGCCCCGGAGTGAGCTCCTTTGTAAATTAAAACCCTTCTGCTGAGACCCAGCTTGCAACCCTTCGCAAAAACAGGTTAGCTAACAAGTACTGCTGCCCACTTCTTCGCACGGCTCCCTCTGGCAATATCCATAGGATTTTGCAGTGCTAGGAAACACTGGCTCACAGGTGGCTAAATTGTGGAGACCATGGTAAACAAGGGAACACTGGAGAGAATAAATAACCTCTTGTGAGACAGGGGGAGGTCTGGCATAACTTTAACTGCTGTCTTTAGCATTCCTTGGAGCTGAGCTTACAAAGGCTGCAACGCAACAGCTCCAACCACCAACTCTGCCTGCTTATATAAGGCACTTCACAACATAGTGCCCTTCAAAACCCAGGCTCAGCAATGCGCTGGGGAATTCCTCTGCAAGGTTTCAAAGCTCCTGGGCCCTGACAACATCCACAGAGCAGAACAAAACACTCCCAGGCCTGATGGACCCTTCTGCCAATTCAGCTGGCTGCTCACAGTGGCACGCTCCTGCGGGTTAACTGCTACTTTGCTACTGCCCTACAATGGTTTTATGGTGGTTTAGTCTCCAGAGAGCCAGAACTCTTGATAAAAGGTTGGCATGATCTGTCCCCACTTTGCTGACTGCAGTCACCAAATCCCAGGAGGGCTGCATGCCCTGTTAACACAAAGCAGTAACAAAACAAGTCTCCTGTCTTCCCATTCAAACCTGGACATAATTTTAAACTTTGTTGGATTTCTGCTTGATAAAAATGAAAGCCAGAGGGGAGAAAAAGCACCAGAGGCACCAGGGAAGCTATTTTCCCAAAAGGCTGAGTTGCATCAGCTGGAGAGACAGGACAAAACTCAGCAGTGAAAAAGACTGTCACAACCGAGCTTGTAAGGGCAGCAATCGTCATTCAACCGAAACCAAAACGTTTCACCCACAGTTTTGTGCATCTTTGCCAATAAGGAGGTGTTTGAACTCCTCTCCTAGCAGAGCACCAGAACCCAGTTGCACAAACACAACGGACCTTGCTGACAAGCGTGCAAGGGGCCGTAGACTGACTGATGGCACAGCCCCACCAGCTCTTTGCTCACTGCAAGCGAGGCAGGCAGCAGGGCAGCAGGGGCAAGCGGTGGCTTTTACTTCTCCCAAGGATGAGCAAGCTGGGACAGTGCTTTCCAGTGTGGCTGCATTTTCTTGCCAGTGCATAGAGAAGTCCCCACTGGTCGAGGCCTTCCCCTTCCTCTGGGAGGAGGAAGCCCGTTCCAGCCCTTTTCCTGCACAGCCGTCTGCTTCCTTTGCTGGCCGTGATGGGAACGGGGCCAGCGCTCAGCTGCTTTCTGGCCCCTGATGGCTGCCCAGAGGAGAAGGGATAACACCCACGCCACCAGTGTGTCTTTCCTTGTGCCACTCAGGGCTTATCTATGAGGAGAAGCAGCTCATAGCAGCAAGCTTTGCAAAGCAAATAATGCAACAAACTGGTGCCTTGTACTCCTCTATACATAAGACCGGGACACCTCCCAGCTGAGATTCCAGGACCTTCCTCAAAGCCGGTCCATGAGGCAATGACCAAATTAAAGTCTTCACTTTCCTAGCACGTGAATTCACGGCTGCTGGACCACTAACAGAGCATCCAAATCCTAAGGAAAGAGGCACATTTCCTCTGCCACAGGGAGCAGAGTTTGGGTCCTCCTGATATCCAGCATCCCACTCACGCCCTCTTCACACTGGGGCTGTCGTGCACTGAGGCTGGCATGCAGAGATCACTCTGCTACAGAAGGCTCTCGGAGTGCTACTCAGCCAACATCACAGTTTCTGGGCCACCTCTTTTTCTGCTATGCTTTCCTTCACAAAACTTCTATCTAGAAGAAGATGCTACTACAGAAAGTTTTCAACTAAGCTCGGCCTCAAAGGGAGGTCAGTGCCAACATGCCTTTGAAAACCTTAGCGATTCATTTAAAACCTTTAAAAATGCAGCCCAAAGGTCACAGAAGAGGCAAAACTTGATTCTCTCCTTGTGCACACACCATATATCATCACTGTTTTCAACAAAGCTATTCCTGACTTCATGAGATAAGCAGACAACCAAGCAACCTGTTTTACCATGTTGTAGGAGAAACCATCACTCAAATGCAGCCACGTCTCACCAAAAGCATCAGGCAGAAACAGGAACGTGGCTCTCAAATACAAGCAGCAGTTTCAAAATAGAGGTTGCCAACTTGTCCTTCACTTGGATGTTCTTCTTTCTGGTTGCTAATTACTGTGTCTTTGTAAGGCCACACAAAGATGGATTCAGTTTTCAGATGTGCGTTACTTGTTTTCAAGCCACAGCAATCACAGATCCACAGGCTGAAAATACGCTTTCCTCCAAATACATTTCGGTATGGCCAAGAAAAAATCAGTTCTGTTACTGTTCAGAAAGGCCTTCTCATTTCTCCAGAGATCCCCAGAAGACAGTTTGAGGGCTTGGAGCAGCTCAGCACATTTTAAGTAGCACAGACTAAGGGGGAGCTTAGAGTTGCCTTGAATGAGGCTGTGCTATCTAACAGGCTGCTCTCCTTCTCACGTTAATCAGAGCACAATTCCCAACTCTGAGCTACCCCCATTTTCACACCTGGGGCACGAAGAGAGTGATAAAAGCACGTACACCACCCCAAACTCTGGGAGAAACCTTTGGTTCAATCTGCTTTTCTACCACCAGAACAGCAAAAGCAAAACTCAAAGCACTTAGCCAAGCTACCCAGTTGGTTACAACACATTTATATCATAACATGCCTACACAGCCTGTCAAATAACAATACCAAGATTAAAACCAATCCACTCCTTCCACAGCTTTACATCAGCCAATGTTTATTTCTGTTGCATGGAGCACTAATCTCTCAAAGCTATTTGTACACCCACTCCTCCCTGCTATCCAGATTCTTCAATCCAACGAATAAGGTTTTCAGGGGCTTTGATAAATGCTAGAGGTGAACCAGACCACCAGAACCTATTTAGATTCAAGAAGCTCCTAACTATCAACGAGCTACAGAAAACATTTTGTACAAAAGACATATGCTAGGATTTCCTACATCTCCTCTGCTTTCTGATCCAGCAGATCAAACAAATGGCTCGCTAAAATATGCAGTGAGGAATGTACAGGTCTGGGAAACCTTCAACCCTCACTAGAGAGGCAGATGACGTAAAACGCATTTTTTCAGACAGATCTGCCTCCTAAATAAGGGCATATAGCAGGGAGAAGAAAAATATGCTTCAAAACTGCAATATTCTCACAAACCCTACAATCCATAGCAGCAATTACAAGTCAGCATCCCTCAGAGGACCCTCAAGATTGCTCTAAACTGCACTGAGGACGGGGAAGAGAAACACAGGGAGCTTCAAAATCCCCTCCAGCCAGGACTTGGTATCATGCTATTGACCATCAACACAAGATGTTTGTACCAAGACATTTGCTGCTGTGCTAAAACTGAAAGCTGCTCACAGAAATTTTCCCATGAACACTTCTAACGAGCAAAAAGAAAACTAGTAGGTGAGTACACAAGCCAGGGAGAAAAAACAAGCCTTTCTCTTCTAAAAGATCTCACTTAGAGAGAGGGAATCTACAGGCAGGCCACCATAACCACAAGATGATGCCAGATCTCAATCTGAAATTTGCAGCAGCTGTCACGAACGTGCATGCAGTGTACCTCTCACGCTGTAATATGCTTATTATATACAGGTGTCTAAGATCAGGGCGCCCTCTCCATGAAGAAGCCAAGGGACAGATATTATTTCTCAGTGGGAACATGCCTCCGTTTTTCAGGAGCTATCTCACCATGACACCACAACCTAGTCACAGCGCTGCAGCTGCGTGTCCTACAGGCTTGGAGTACCTTGGAAGGACGTAGAGTTTCCCAGGGGTCTGATATCAGAGGAGCAGCTCTTCTCCCCACCCCACCACATTGTCAAGCATCGTAAAGCCTCATGAGAAGATGCCATACCTGTACGTGATATGCACTGCGGTGCCAGGCTCGTCTCTCTCCCAAATCAAAGCAACTCTGTTCGGAGACTTTTCAACATGTTGATCCAAGCAATTTACTGTAAGAAAACAGAGGTTTAAACAACGTCTGACCACATGCAATGTGTTCTGTAAACTTAGCTTGGTCAAGTGTAACAGCAAGAGAGCACAAGACGAAACAGCATTTGTTAGCTAGCTAGCCACACGCTCATTTATGACACTTGGAAGTTGTCCTTTACAGTGATAGCATTTGTAGCACTGGTAAAGCTGTCCTTTGCGATAACTGTAGTATGCAAATACTACAAATACTACACTTAATTGGTACAGCTGCCTTAGAGACAGCATCCCCACGAGAGGCCTGAGCTGATTCAGCTCAGCTTAGCTCCACTAGCTAAGCTTAAACCAGCCCAAATCTCTCCCCTGCTCCCAGCAGCACAAAGACACGACATTCTTTTGGTGTTTTTGCTCCACAGAGCAGCATTTCACTACATAAATCAGACAGACTGTCTTCCCCAGCTTCCATTTTTAGCACTGCATCATCTGAATTTTCTAATTAAAGCCTAGGTGAAACATTTTTATTCCAAAGTATAATGGAAAAGCTGAATCTCAACTAACTGAAAATAACTGAAATCTAGGATCTAGGGTAAACTCACGGAGTACAGACATCTACACATTACCAGACATCTGGGAAAGACGAACATGTTTCAAGCTGTGTGCTACACCTCCTAAAACCTGAAGGTATAAAATTACCTTCTGAAGGTATATCTCTCCTCCAACAGCTAGAGGTAGAGGAAACCTGAACAGCAATGTGAGACGCTCAAGCGGACTTGGGGAGAGCAGCCACCCTGAAGAAACTTATAGAGAGTCCACCCAACAAACCTGCCTGCATGTTCAGCAGCATCTTGCCCACCTGTTAGAGATTAACCTTGCAAAGCATTAATTCCAAGCCTAAACGATCGTATTTCCTGGAAACATTAATACTGGTGGGGAAAGATTTCATTCTTCCAGACAAATTAAGTGCAACGAAAGCCGCCTATTGCTGTCATGATTTGTGAAGTTTAAGTACACTGCAGCCCAGGAGTCGGCCTCCACTGTTCTGTGATCACAGCTGATTTACACCACCATATGTCGGGTGGGAAAGAGCCCCTAAAGGTGCACAGAGCGAGAAATCCCTCAGAATTCAGCATATTCCATTAGAAGAACAACTATCAGTCTCAAAAATATGCTAAAACGCTCTTCGGCTGTTTAAAGTCTTTTATTTTTTTATGTAAATTCCCATATACTACATACTGTAATATACAATACTATAAAACTAAAGGAGACAAAGCCATCTTAGGTCATCCTCATACGATACAGGACAAAAGCTCTAATGGGGAGCGCTTTAAGCAGTTATACAGAATGACAGAATGGTGGGGGTTGGAAGGGACCTCTGGGGATCACCCAGTCCAACCCTCCTGCCAAAGCAGGGTCACCTACAGCAGGCTGCACAGGGCCGCGTCTAGGCGGGGCTTGAAAATCTCCCGAGACCTCCCTGGGCAGCCTGTTCCAGTGCTCCGTCACCCTCAGAGGGAAGTTCTTCCTCATGTTCAGACGGAACATCCTCTGCTTCAATTTGTGCCCACTGCCCCTCGTCCTGTCGCTGGGCACCACTGAAAAAGAGTCTGGCCCCATCCTCCTGACACCCACCCCTGAGACATTTATAAGCATTACAAGATCCCCACTGGTTTCCTCTGCTGTCCATCCACAGGTAATTGGATCTGCTGTGGCTTGGTACACGACCCTTAGCAACTCCCACCTCCGAGCTCATTGCAGCAACACCCTCACGTACTGCGCCATGATACAGTAAATCACATTAAAGGGGATTCGTTGCCCAAGCAGCATTTCTTACTTGTGAGCAGCAGTACTAGCCTTCAGAGGGAATTTCTGCTTCTGCTGAGCCAAGTGAGAGCTTTAGCTCTTTGCTCAGGAAGAACCGGCAGGTGAACCAAATGCTATCTATTTCCATGCTGATCCTAGGCTTACGAGAGCCTCTTGCTCATTTCACAAAACAGAATGTAACAACCTTCCCCTTACTGCTATACCCTAATCGTTTCTTCATACATTTTCCTGCCTCCTCAACAATGCTTGGAAAGGATTCATTTTGGTAAGACATTCTCCTGAGCACCCAGTGCCTTGGAATGGCGGTAGTTTGTTGGGGTATTTTCCAGGCCAGCAGCTACAGCGCAACAAATTCAGAAGCGCTGAAGCTCGCAGCACCCCCACATCCTACCACAAGGTCTCCCCAAGCAAAAAGCAGCAGATGACTGCTGCCTGTGGTCCAGCTGCATTGGGAGACGGGCACACAGCATGCTCTGGGTCAGGAACCAGAACTGTTGCAATGTTTCTGCAACTAGCATTCCAATCAATTGATTAAGGGGCAAAACCAGAGCCTCCCAACAGAAAACCAGTCACCTGGCTGTGGCCGAATACCACCTTCATCACATTTTAAAAGAAGAAAACCAGCAATAGAGAAATTGCTTAATTCTGTGCATCTGTGTTTCAATGGTCTATGATTGTTTTTTTAACCCATGGAAAGAAAACTGAGTGGCATTTATTGCCTGCACAAGAACCAGACCCAAGACATTATCTAAAATTGGGTGCAGAAATTTCTGGATTTCGGACACCTGGCCCACATGGGATCTGGAAGAAAGTGCCGATTCCACTCTACAGAGGAAAGAAACGGATCCCTGAAAGTCCCTGCGCTCAGCCAAGAACTTCATTTCAACAGGAATCAATGAAAACAAAAGTCTGACTAAAATTCCTCTTATGGCTGGGTGCTAGAAGCAGGGCTGCACACACACCTCCATTAACTTGGGGTCCGCTGCTGGGAATCATCTCCTGGGAGGGGACGCCTCCCCTATGTTCTCTGAAAGACCTGAGGAGGGTTTGCTCTTTCGCCGTGAAAAAAGGTGGGCAGGGATGTCCCAGTTCCCGCACTACTGAACCGGTGACGCAAGCACTCTCTCGGGAATGGGAAATTAAGAAACGTTACAAGACTTCACCACCGAGCTGTACCCTGGACAGGGCTGGGGCTTGCTCCCGCTGGACGAAGCACGGCCGCGGCACAGAAGAGCCTCCGAGGCAGCCACGGCCAGGAAGAAACTCAGAGGCGGTCAGGACTGCCACCGCCAATTTCTCTGCTCCTTCGCGTGTGCGGCCAAGTTGGAGGAAGAGACCCAGCTCCTCGTTTCAGAGCGAGAAGAGGCTGCAGCTTCCCCCCCGGCAGAAGATGGGGGTTCGCACCGTCCCCCAGCCTTGGTTCACCCTGGCGCCGCGGAGCCCACCACGGCACCAAGCAGCCCC